CATATATATCTTTATAAATGTATACGAATATATGTAGTATATATGCTGTTTATACACATTATTCTATTTAGTTCAAATTATTACGAAAATTTAAAAAAGTTTTAATTTATTTTTATTTAAAAATGTATAACATATTAATTTTTATTTAATTGTAAATCATCAGAGAGAGAGAGAGAGAGAGAGAGAGAGAGAGAAATTTATAAAAATTAAAATATAATATTAGGGTATCAAAAACATTTAACGTGAATAATTATGCAAAAAAGCATACTGCTAATAATAATCACTTTTTGAATTGTTTAATGCGTCTTTTGTCAGCACATTAGTTAAAACGGAATATTTAAAATTATAAAATGAATAAGATATATATGTTTCTCGTTGTAATACCACGATATAATTACGGTATCACATTAAACGACTGATGCTACTAAAACTAAATTGCTGATAGTTTTGAAAAAATCAATGTAAGAAATATTATTTCATTAATTTCGTGACAAAATACTAATTGGATTTTATTTTGTTTCAAGTAATATAACGTCAAATTATTTTTATACTAATATACAGGCTTCGGTCCTGTTTAAAAAACAAAATTACTAAGAATATATATGTTTACTAAAAAAGATAAAAGGATTATTTAAGCTTTATTGTAAGTTTTCAGATCTTATTTCATATTTATTATTTTAAGTAAGTTTTTGTAATCTAAAGTACGGGCGAGTTTTTTAATTTGTCGTTTGATCAATCGTATTATGTGCAAATGCAGCTTTTAAGGTACAAAATGCGTATAATGCAATTGATGAATCGATGAATTAAAAAACTGTATACAACGTTTCATATTATCTAACATATTTATTATACATTTTAAATACATTTAAATACATTTTAAAAAGGAATATGAAGAAGAGTGGCACGAGGAGCTAATTGTCTGTACGATCCTCGGCGGTTGAATGACTGCGATAAAACAGGGTCACTGCGGATAAATATGACACGCCGCCCGTCGCGTTTAGACAAACCCCAGGCCGCTTTTCACCCGTCTAACTGTCGAAATATTAACGAAATAAGTAAAACAATATCAAATTGACATTTTTACGCGCACACTCAGCTCATGAATATCGCATTTGATTGGCGAAACGTGTGAAGTCGCGCGTTTGTCGCGCGCTATAAACGCATTGAAACGCGTGCATGGAAATCAGGGGTTAGTTGAATTATTCGCTAACGTTAATTTCAAGCTAAATTTATGAGAAAATATTGATAATTACAATCAAAGATCACAATTCAACGAAATTGTATCTACTACTTTTAACGCGATTTTCAATACTTTCTCATTGGATTATTTTGAAATAAACGTTTGTACACTATTTAGCATAAAAAAATACAAGAAAACATGTATAAGAAAGGTACTCTTAGGTACATATTCGGTAATTTTATTCGTCCTCCTTTGGAAATATCAAGCGGAATGAAGAATAAACAGTTCATTTAATGTAGTTTAAATTTCGCGCCTCAATTACGCTAAAAATCGTAAAATGGCGACTTCCGGCTTCACATTTTATTAAAGTCACTAGATTTATAAATCAAGTGACTTTACATTTTATTACTCGAGAATGCCATCTATTTTCGCTCAAAATGAACGCCCGACAAAAGCGCGGGTAACCGTCTTCCAAACTTTCCAAGAGCCACAAGTTGTTGCTTCGTCAACACCAATCAGGTTACCGCAGTAGGTGACGCTCAGTAACAGCGCCACAGCATTCATACATTAATCAACATAAACGGAGACCAGCTAACCAGGTATTGTATTCGGAGGCGGGAGCGCGAGAGCCATTAATTAAAGAAGAAGAAGAAGAACGGGGACCAGAGATATCTTACACGTAAAAGCACAAGCACAATGTTCGAGGCACGTTTGGTGCAAAGCGCGATCCTGAAGAAGGTGTTAGACGCGGTGAAGGATCTCCTAACCGAGGCGACTTTCGAATGCTCTGACTCAGGGATTCAGGTCCAGGCGATGGACAACGCACACGTTTCCTTGGTCTCGTTGAACCTCAGGAGCGATGGCTTCGATAAGTATCGTTGCGATCGAAATTTATCAATGGGGATGAGCATTAGCTGGTGAGTACGGACATACTAATTTAAAGTTTATACACTGAATGACTGTCTATTGAACAAAGAAATGGTATGTTCCTTTTGGCTGCTCTTTCTGTTGTCTACCTTTTGCTATGAAGTAAAATGAATGCTTGTGTATTTTATGAGCTTTGAGGTAGAAATGAAGAGAAATGGAGAAATGCAGACAAAAGGTGTAGAATAAAAAATTTGTCATGATAATTAATATACCTTGTATGACTATAATCAATCACGAAACCTAATTCCAGTATGTCAAAGATTTTGCGGTGCGCTGGCGCAGAAGATACAGTGACCCTCAGAGCATGGGACAATCCCGAGTCTATTATTTTTATGTTTGAATCGCCCAATAAGGAAAAACTAGCTGAATATGAGATGAAACTGATTAATATGGATCAGGAACATCTGGGTATACCTGTAAGATTCACTTATATTGAAGTAATAGGATAGATATTAATGGGTTTTGTAGAATAAGTCATTATCCAATCTTTAAATCTTAGTTAAGTTTAATATTGCATTCATCAATTTTTGTCATACAACAAGCTTTTCGAGCTTGTTGATTATACAGGACAAAGAGGATCTTGAATCTCTCTGTCCTGTCAATCAATTAACATTTGAAAACTTTTTAAACATGTTCATAATAAATGTAATCATGATAAATATATCAGCATATAAAATATCAGCTTCAAAATGTAAATTGGCTAATCATAATTAAATATGAAAAGAACAATTAACTATGATTGGTTAATTTTTATGGTTGATGACTTAAAGCTTGGATAATGGCTTATATATTATAGAACGTTTGTATAGTTATCATTCATCAAGTAATTGCTTTACAGGAGACTTCATACTCATGTGTTGTAAAAATGCCAACTGCAGAATTTACCCGTATATGTAGGGACTTGAGTCAATTTGGAGAATCTATAACTTTTGCATGTTCTAAGGAAGGTATAAAATTCAGCGCATCTGGTGATTATGGCTCAGGTAAATATATGTATATATATCTCCAAATAAATATAATCAGGAGACAGAAAAATTAATAAAATGAACCAGTATTGAAACTTGGGAATCTACATTCTCATACCTAACACTTATAATTAGCATGCTATCCTATGACTGTTTCACTACTTCCATAATTATTGTGATCTCTTATTAATATCTAATTGACTACATTTACACACACACACACACACCAATACATAAGATATAATTTGTTTTCTCTACTTAACGTTGAAATTAAAAAGAAACTCAACATTTTTTCTTTAATAGATATTTTTATGTCCAACAATAAATTGAAACTAACTGCAGAGTTTAAGACCGGTATTCAAAGTCAGTTCTTATATTCAAGACCGTCTTAAGTTCAGTCGTGAAGAGTTACGAACCAATCAGAGGGCCGCTTTAGCATCTTAAGACATTACTTAAGACAATCTTGAAATAAGAACTGACTATGTATACCGGCCTAAGTTCTTAATCCTTAATTAAAAGTATATTGAAAATATAGTCTTTTTAATCTTGTTAGGTAGGTCATGTTTTATATATTTTTTCTTATTTATGCTTTCATTTCCATACAAGATGTATTTATCATGGGGAGATATTTGATTACTAAATGAAATTGTAATAATAGACAAAATTTTGTAGATGCATTTATACATATGGATTTAATCAAAGTAGGAGTTAAAAATACTATGATGTTTATAAATAATGTTATACAGAGAATTTGTGATAAAATAAGACAATCGCAGAAATACTAATATGCACAGATACGTTCTGTATATACAGTTGTGTAAGCGACTTACAAACTGCTTTTATTTCTTTGCAGCCAACATCAAATTAGCGCAGACTGCAGACGCAGATAATGAAGAGGAAGCAGTAATAGTTAACATGCAGGAACCAGTAAAGTTAACGTTTTCTTGCCGCTATCTGAATTGTTTTGTTAAAGCCGGTCCTCTTTGCAACCAAGTTCAATTGTCCATGTCTGACGATGTGCCTTTAGTATGTGAATATAAGATTGGCGATATTGGATACATAAGGTATTATCTAGCACCCAAGATCGATGATGAGGAAGAAAACTAAAATATAACGAGAGAGATAGAAATAGAATCCGTATACATTGAACTGTAATTAACGGCACTATATTACTTTACTAATTGTTTTGGAAAATTTTTTCTATTAACATTCGACATTATCATATGTATTTCAATAGAAAATAAATTAATTGGCTTGTGATATAATTACAAAGAGATGATACTATACATGCATTTTACTGATCAGAAAATTAAATCCGTTTTCCGCTATTTGATATTGAGGTACAAGTAAGGCGAAGTTAAAAATACTTTTAAGGTAATATATTATTTTAATTTTACATTTAAAAGTTATTTGGCTCGTCACAGTGCTAGCGCAATGCAGAATTGACACTAAAATTTATAGTAGAGTGACACAATGATTAGTATAGCAAAATGGTGTCATTCTCTTAATCAATATTCACATTATTAATGTTCCAGAGACTGTGACAGTATTTTGATAATATCGCATTGTTCTTTTTTTATATGTAAGAAGAACTCAATATATTTTCAAAAAATTTGATAAATTTTGAATGTTATATTATTCTTATATCCTAGCCTAGACCGAAATTTCAAATTTTGCTTAATGCAAATACCTTATTTCTTATATGTTTGTGTGTATATACTACTTTAATATAAAAATACATAATTAACTTACGAGCTGAAGGAATAAGAGGGCTATCATGGATGGAATAGCCTAGAAATAGTATACAGTTAAATCTTATACAATTTGGATTTATCCTATAATTACTCTAAATAATCAAGTTAATAAGTAATCATTAAATATATTGATTTATACTATAGAATTATATTTTACACGCAAGCACTCCTCGACAGATATCTATAAATAGTAAAATCATTCATTATTTGTCCTCTCTTTACTCTTGAACAAAAATCTTTTCAACCTTTTTTTTTTCATATATGTGCACTACATTAGAAGGAGAAGGAAAGGTTTAAAATATTCAAACGAGACATTTTGGCAATATTAATCAGCCTCTTTGGTATTAAGACCCTGATATTGCTTTCTTGTTTCAACTCAATCGAAAGTTGTTTAACGAGAGAGGAGTTCTATTATTTTCTATATTAAAAAGAAGATTATTATATATAAAGAATGCGACACAACTATCCTTTAGAAAAAATAGTTTGTATAGATTTCTCTCCAATATGTATTGTGAATTTTAAAAATGCGCTCAGTTATGCTTATTCTTTCGGTGGAGATTCACACAGATCTTAACTCGTTTGTCGTCATGTCGTGCTCCAATTTGGCATCCATTTTATACGTATAGATACGCGTTCAGTCTACGTAATCATAATAATATACATAAGATACTGTATGGTTTCTCCACGACTGAGACGCCATGCAAACAACGCACACACACACACACACACACACACACACATACATATGTATATATATATACATATACACAAGTTGTTTCATTTTAATTACCACACTAAAATGTTTCCTTAAGATGTGGGATTACAAAAAGATTTTAGACATAAGTTATGTGACTTCGTGGGGGGGATGATACACAAGATGGTACCATGAGTATGATCTTGGATGACGTTGTCTGAAACTTTTTAATCCCGTCTCCTTTTCGAGATATTCTCATGTGGTAATTAAAATAAAACGTCCTGTGTATGTATACATATATATATCGTCGGAAAGAAATGTGAAGGGTCTTTAAGCGTTCGTGCTACCATTACTCCCGTATAAGCTAGGATGTACGTATTTATCATGCAGTGTCCTTAAATGCCTCAGCAAGTTGCTCTTTACGTTGAAGCCTTTTTTACAGTAAGAGCAAAGGAAAGGTTTTTCGCCCGTATGCGTTCTTTGATGGATAACCATCGAGGCGTGACTCGGGAATTCTTTTTGACATATATTGCATAACTTTTGGTGATTGTGAACCCTTTTCGGCTTAGGGGGCGCCGAATTGTTCATCAAGGCCAACTGCTCCTCCGTGTGCTCCGTCTGTATATGACGCACCCACTCTTGCGGCGTGGAATACATGTTGCCACATAAATCACATTTCAGAGGGGGAAAGTCCTTGCTGTCGTCGTTTATATCGTCCTGAAACCGTCGCGTTTTCTTATTCGTTTCACAATTTATCATGTGCGTATATGTCGTAAAGAATCGTTTGTGTGACACAGTACCTTTCGTTTCTTTCTCCGATTTTCAGTCATGTCAGCGTGCGTAAATTCTATATGTCTCACCCAATCCGACGGTCTGTTAAACGTTTGACTGCACATGTCGCATGTCAGTGGGGTGTACTCTTCCTCTTCCATATCTCCATCCTCGTCCGCGCTATGTACGATCTCCTGTGACAAGAATAGAGTAACCGTTATTACTTCATTATATATTAGAAAAGACAATGAGTATCTATGGCCGGTATTCATACTCGATTCTTATTTTAAAATTGTCTTAAGTATATGTCTTGAGAACTAACACAGCCCTCTAAGTGGCTTATGACATCTTAAGTCTGTACTTAAGACACCCTCAATTTTAAGAATAAACTATGAATACCAGCCTATGATAACTTTAATTTTACGCACTGGTTTGATATCAATTTCGTGATCTATCGTAAGTGATTCCGACGGATCAATTGTTTCTTCCCAATCGATCGGCTCGTCCTTTACTAACAACTCCAAATTTAATTCGGTCTAAAAGGGAGAAAAAACATTAGGCTTTTTCGTCAATGAACGAGTACTTCTTTTTATCGCATTAGGAATTACTAAATCTAAAAAAATTAGCTCACGTTTTCACCACCTTCACTCTTGGACTTATTCGACTCGACGTCACTGTTAACGGTTTTTTTCTTTTTGCCATTTGTCTCGAGGTTTTCCTTGTTCTTGCTCTGCTCGTTATTCTTCTCCTCCGAGACTTTCTTGTTCTCAGATTCGTTGGTCTTGTCTTCAACTTTCTCAGTGCTCTTCCTCTCAACCGACTTCGCGGACTGTATATTATTTTGGCAAGCCGTGGCTGCCTGCTGCACGTTCTCGATTACCTTCTCCGCGGTCGGTTGTATCAGTTTGATCTTTTGTATTTGTCCGGCAAGCTGCGACGTTTCCCGCTTGTCGCGTTCAATTTTCTGATTATTCGACTGTATGTTCTCCTTTTTGCTGCTGCCGGTATTTGATCTCCACAGTCCACGCACACGTAGTATGTCGCCGGCCTTCAGGACTCCTTCCAGCTGATCGTTGGTCACAGTAGCTTCGCCACTGTACATGTACTGTATCAGGATTTTTAACGTGCGATATCCGATCTCCGTAGGCAACACCTAAAGCATGAAATAACGTTATTCATCATTTCCCGTTGTTCCGAGTCTATTTGATAACAGGTGAGAAGACAACGCTAATTGATAAATTTATGAGTATAAAAGAGTTCGATTACCGACCACGATTATCGGAGCATTGGTGTTGGCGCCGAAATGGCACGTTTGGAAAATGTGACTGAGATAAGACGAGCAGGCCGCTAGGACGAATCGATGGGCCGCCACGTGTCGCCCGCAGGACGTGGCCAGTAAAACGTCCGCGAAGGATTCTGAGTGGAGCAGAGTCGCGACGGAGCTGTGTAGATGCGCTCCGTAGCTGTGCCATTTGAGCTGATAATTTTCCGAGGCGGCGATAGCCATCTTTTCTGTATCGAACAAAAGCGATTGTATTATTATTACGTGTGAAATTCGAAGGATATCCGCGTCGCACTTTGCGCACAAAATGCACAGTTTATTTAATTCTACGTGATTGCGCGACGCGCAAGAAACAACCTGCCTCCGTAGAATTTTCTAATGCGTTAATTTCAGTACAACGAGCTCGTTGCGTAGCGTAATCTCGTCGATAAAGCGATAATAAGCCGATTAAATTGTACAGTTCGGCGGGATATCACAGCACCGAATTGCTCTTCGTCTTGCGCATTTTTATCCGTATCGATCTAGCGTCGCGATTAGCGATTGCGGATAGTCATCTGCAAAGGCGGCCGGGAGAAGAGCTACACGTCGCCCCCTCGCCATGACCGTCTTGCGATCCTGCGAATGATTCTTCATTCTTTTCACTTGATTATATTCTTTATTATTGAAATCGTATCAATCGTCCGCGTTGCTCCGAAAAAAAGAAAAAAAAGTCCCCAAAGCGATAACTATATTCTTTTAAATCGATCGAGTATTATTTACGACGTACGATATATACTTTCCGAGCTCGACCGAATCGTTACCAGACGACCTGCACGCGCGAGGTGTCAAAGTGTTTCCTTGGTCACGCTTAATCCAATCCGATCGTCATTGTCGCCGCCCGTATACAGATCGATGCAGGCCGATAAGTGACGAGAGAATCACTCCCGCCGTTTGCGATTCTCCCGTTAATCGAATTGGCAACATACATGGTTGTTCTTTACCGCGGATTTTTACTATCGCGCGTGTTTACTCAATGCCCCTTCCTTGCATCGCCGATTGCTTTTAGCTGCGGAATATTCAATCACACACCGCGCGAGAGCACTGGCAGGTGACACCGCGTCGATCACGACCGTTGACGAGCTCTATAACGTTCGTAAATCATCTACGGGGAAGAGAATGCGTCGCGTCGAGTCTCTCTCTCTCTCTCTCTCTCTCTCTCTCTCTCTCTCTCTCTCTCACTCTGTCTCTCTCCGGCCAGACGTCATCTTCGCCGTTGCCGCGATTTATACCTGAGAACATCGGCGCACCGGTAATGATCCACTTGTAACAATCCAACTCGAATCGTGCGAATTTCTAACGCCTTCGACGACAAATCCGAATTACGGGGACAACGAGGAAGAGGATCGCACGGGCAACGTCGAGGCTGCGTGCACGAGAGCGCGGTGTAGCTCGACGCGCGCGTCGTCGGTGTTTTGAAAGGCGCTTGGCGCGGACAGGACGGGGGTACGGGGCAGATACGAGCATCGAACGAACCGCCGCGTTAGGGGCCTAAAAATCGATATTTCGGTCTTTGCTCCATCCTCTACTCCGCGCGGCGTGCGGCGCGGTGCGGCACGGCGCGGCGCGGCGCGGCTCGCCTCGCCGGCTTTCGCCGGCTAGAGGAGGTAGGAGGGTATGCCCCTCTGTGTTCATCATCGATTTTCGCCGGCTACCAATCGCACGCATCCATTTATCGTATCGATCGCCCGAGCTGATTTCGTCCGCGTTTGCGTCCGTCCGTCCATCCGCCCGTTCGCTCCGCACAACAACGATTCATACTGCACCCTCCCGCGACGATCTCCCTTCCGTCCCTCCCTCATCGTGCTCTGCTCTGCCCGCGCCCTTCCTATACCGTCCTCACACCATCGACGACCCCTATCCCCTTGTCGAGACGACCCTCGCCGCCATCGCCATCGCCACCGTCGCCGTCGTCGTCGTCGTCGTCGTTTCGGCGGTAGAGAGACCTCTTCGATCGTATAGGATACGACTCTCGAGAGGGAGACTCGTCATCACATCCACCGACCTCTTAATTCGTATATGCCTGTTGATTATCCTCTGCGTATAGTTTTCGCACGCGAGATCGTTTTTATCCTTTTCGTATAAAGACGCATATATATACCTCGCCGAGTGTACGTCATTCCGATTTGTTGCAGGCTATCGATTACCTGCCGCGTTCGATGATCTACCCCGTCGCCGGATCCTCCTACTCCCTCCCGTCGCTTGCGGGGATTCGCGATATAAACGTCATAACCGTCTCTAGAGAATTTTGCAAACTCGAATAAAGCGCTCATTGTTCGAAATTGCGCCCCTTGAGCTGTGATTAATTTTCAGCGATTTATGCAAACTCGTGGTTTTTTTTTTTTTTTTTTAAGTAGATATATATACTTATTCGTAGATCGATGTAAATTAATTGTAAATCGTAAAAGATAAAACTTCAATTTTAATGTACTTGTGTCTAATCGAAAGACACGCGTTGCTGTAAAACGTTGTCGAACGATGTGATGTAGTACGTGTAGAACGAGCTGTAGATCCCAGCATCCATTACGCGAGCTAATGCCATGTAAGAAGTGTTTCATCGATACACAATATTGATAGCACAGACGTGTAATATAATATACCTCTTGACGCATCTAATTATATTTTAAACGTGACGAAATCGCTACATATTTTTCGTGTCATCGCCACATTCCAGGATCCAAAAAGATCCAAATTTCGGATTCGGCAATGCATGGCCATCCGAAATCCATTTGTTTATTACAATTTCCAAGGAATTGAAATAAAAACAAGAAATATGTGAATTTGTCAGTGCCGGATCTCTAAAATTCTGACTTTTCGGATACAGGGATTGTCACGCGGATCTATAGATCGCCTTGCGGGCTTCGCGTCGGCCGCTCCGCGAAAATGTCACAATTAATCGAGAACGCGTTGCTCGCGTGCGCGAAGATGGCGGGATCGTTCGATTTTCAGGATTTCCTCGGTCACTCACACACTCACACACACACACACACGCACGCAATGCACACGGTATTGTGTGTATGTTTTGCGTGCGCGCGCGTGTGCGGCGACGTGCCGCATTGCGTCGACGACCCATTTTGCAACGGGGGCGATAAGTCGCGCGCGCTCACGCCGCCCTCCCTCTTACCGCTAAATAATCAATCCTCTCTCGCGCGCGCGGTGATCGACGGGCACCCTCTCTTTTTGTTTCATTTTTTTTTTTTTCGTTTACCTGCCATTGCCGCCAGCGGAGAAGCGGCGATCACGCGCTGCGTCCGGTCCGAAGGTCCCCCCCTCAGAGCGCGTCGCTTCTCTCTGCGCCGAGAGGAAATTTTTTATTCCCGCTTGTGGACGAGATCCTCGAGACGCGTCGCGCAACGGAAGAGAGGACTTATTACTCCTTTCTCGCGGCGCACAGAAATTCCGATGATCGATGATCGACCCGCGCGTAAAGGGCGACGTTTTTGAATCGCGATCGCTCGGGTGACTCGGCTAGCCCTCGGGTCACGTGGCGCCGAGTCACGTGGCGCTTTCGCGTGAGACCGTGAGATCGCGCGGGGTCGCTGCGCGCGTTTCGGGAGGCCGTGGTGAACGAGCGAGCCGAGTGTGTGGACTCTGTGGGCTATACGGGGTGCACGTTGTAGTCGGTGCGGTGTACTTGACCGTGTAAATAATGCGCGCTGTCGTCGACGGCTGGAGGCTAATAGGGATCGTAACAGCGACGAGGACGCTAACGATTTGAGAGTGGCTGTCCTCCGGAATGCTATAGGGAACCGTGGCGGGCATTCGTGAACAGCCGACAGTGCTCGCGATACGTACGAGGCCTCCGTGAGTGGGCTCGTTGACCCAATTCCTTCGACTGCCTTTCGGACTCGAGCCGCAACCCTTTCACCGACCCTTTGTTTTGTCGGCGGCCACCGAGGACGGCAACAACGACAACAACAAAGGACGACGACGATGTCGACGTTACGCGGATAGCTGAAGATACGCGACGATCTTGCAGGTGGAATTCGTCTCGCGCCTTTCTCCGTCAGGTTATCATCGACTTGAAAAAATAACTGACCTCGGGAAAGGTTAAATTGTGTTGAGCGGATCGCTCGAGCTCCACGTACGGACGATCACAGACTTTACGGCGAGTTGATGATTGATATATGGATGCCGTTGCGACTGCCGTCGCCGTCGGCACCTGCGGCTTCCACCTTTTCGCTAGACAACGCGGGCGAGATGAGATATACCTGTCCGAATTCTCAAGTGGGAACACTGCCCAAGGGACACAATCGCATGTTTGTGATTAATTGCCAGCAGCCTGTTGCCGGGATCCGTGCGTTCATATATGGCAGTATGTGAGACGAGTTTCGTCCAAAATGCCTCACGTCACGCGAAAATGGGAACTATTTCCAGGCAGGAATCGCTTCTGTTGCGACGGTAGAGTAATGATGGCACCACAGACTGGAGTGTTCTACGTCACCGTGTGCCTAATCGTCGTAACAAGCGGATTGTTTTTTGCTTTTGAGTAAGCTCATTCATATTGTTACGTTTACCATCAAGATTACTCTTCTCTATATGTACAGTTGGATTTTTTCTCAGATCAGAATGATTCGTTATAATATCTCATTTATTCAAGATCGTCCAATTCTATATAACCTTGAGATTCTATCTAGCTAATAAAACAAGTGTACAGCATCTCAATCTTAAGTGCAAGAGTAGTTGCGTTCAACAGAGAATGCTGTTTTGCAACTGTTGTAAAATTTTTGAATACAGTTGGTTCTTGTTTTTGATTCCTTATGGATCTGAATGTATAAACCAATTATACTGAAGAATTTTACAACAGTTGCAAAGCTGCTTTCTCTGCTGAACGCAGTCATTAAACTATGAATACTGTCCTTAGTCTATTAATACATTGTATACCTCGTTAGAACAAATGGATTGTTGCTTGTTTCATTTATAGCGTGACATTTGACATCAAGGGTAAAGAGTTTAAAGCTGTTGCAGCAACTTTTATATTCTATACAAAAGTATATTGGATACTTTGTAAGACTAGAATGATAGGGTAAGGTCCTGTACAATTTCAAACATGATACAATTCTAAACAAAATAATATTTGAATTCAAGTTCCAAGTTCAAGTTTAGTAATCTTGTTCTCATTGTACGAAGGATGCTAATAGGAATCACAAAAATAGGAAAATAAATAAGAATTGGTTTTAATTCTTACTTTGTTCAGAATTGTATCATGTTGAAAATTGTATCACCTTACCCTATTCAAAATCCACTGGATCTTATATTCAAGATCATCTGTTATTATAATCTATCTTAAATAATGTCTTAAGATATTAATATATGGCCTTCTGATTAGTTCACGATATCTTAAGACTGTATTTAAGATAGTCTTGAATATAAAAACTAATAGTGAATATTGATCTTAGTTTCTAGATAATTTTAAGATTCTATCCAGCAAAGGAATATTTGGATTCTCATCTGAGTGCTCCTCATATGTCATGTCATCCTCGTTTAATATTCAGTGAACAACAAGGATGACATAACATCCAGAAAGCATCCAGGTGGGAATTCGAATATGCCCTTGGTAAAGCAATTGTATTGTATCGTAAGATCATACTTGAGATTATTTTATAAACAAGATTGGATTACAAATACCGTCCTTAACTTATTAGCACACTGTGTGCCTTATCAAATGAATTGTTCTCTGATCTTCTAAATAAATATTATCTATTGTACATTGTATGTGATCTCAAGGGGATAAATCTTGGTACAATTAAGAATATAAGCTACTTATGGATTTTAATCAAAGATACATTGGATGCAATTAAGATGATATTTATAGTTTGATCTTATATTTAAGATTGTACATCTAATGTTAAAATTCCATCCAAATAAAACAATTGTATGTCAATGTACAAGATGTATATTGAAAGTTGGACTGTAAATATTGTTCTTAATCAATGAGTAAGAAAATTAATATGCTTTTATATATGTACAACCGATTAGAATTTTTAGACAATCGTTTTCTTTTTTCCAGTTGTCCATATCTGGCACTACATGTTTCACCAGCAATACCAGTAATAGGAGCTTTATTATTTATATTTGTAATGTCTGCTTTATTCCGCACAAGCTTCAGCGATCCTGGAGTAATTCCAAGAGCAACACCCGATGAAGCAGCTTACATTGAAAAACAAATCGGTATAGATATAACTAGAGTACTTATAGTAATTACATTGTTTCATTTACTTATTTTAAAAATTTAACGTTTTTGTTCAAACATAAAATAAACAAATGTCTATTATATAAAATTTGAAATGCTGAATCAAAATATTTTTCGTGAATTGTAGAAGTACCAAACAATGGCAATTCTAAAACATACAGACCTCCCCCTAGGACGAAAGAAGTCTTGATTAAAGGACAACCAG